AAACACTCAACTGTAATGGTATTTTGCTTGTTTGATTTGGAAGTATCCCATCAAATATGTAAGAAGACATTTGTATCCTAAATTAAGATATACACCTCGGAGTTCATGCTGCAGAAGTGATTAGCACATGAAATGTGTCTATAGCAAGACTTTGTCTGTAACAGCAAATATGCATATCAGTTGCAAAGAATTGTGAAGCTTTATTGCTGAGCAATTTAACCAAAGCTAACTGTGAGGAGAGAAAGAGTATTAGTCAACCTGCATGCTGTCTGCAATTCTGAGCTTACTGGTGCCACACTTGAACTTCCTGCAAACCTTATGACAAAACTACTTAAGAGTCTTAAGATCACTTTTTTCCTTGTTACTACCTTCTGAAGGTGAATTAGTGAGAATTAGTAAAACTGACTCTGGAAAACCTAGTATTTCACAAGCACCAGAATCCTTCATTGAATTTACATTCCTGGGTGTAGGTTTAATCTTTTTTTTTTGACTTACTGAATGTCAGTGACAATTAATAAATAGATCTGGAATACAATTATTGCACACCTTACTAAAGCTGCAGTCAGGAAGGTAAATAAATGAAGGGCTGCGGTGAGGGTTTGCTATGATATGATATGATGTGATATGATATGATATATGATATGATATGACATGACATGACAGTATGCCTATTTTGGTGAACAAAAAGGAGGTTTTATAAGACAGAGATAAACAAGAACTGTATTTCGAGTTTAGACACAAGGCTTTCTGTGAAAGCACAGGATACTTTCTTCCGTGATCTGCTTTTTGGCAACRGAAGCAGGAAAAGTAACTCAACCCTCCAGACTAGTCCCTAAGAGGAAGGGCAAAGATCTGGACTTCTCAAATCTCCTACAACACTGAAGCAGATGGTGAGAACCCTTACTCCTTAAGTATACTCTTAATATTCATTTTGTTGGCTTATTTTTATGGAACTGTTTTCAGTACTGGAAATCCTATGCTTTCTGATAGATTAAAGTTAATTGGTTGTTCTTCTATTAAACCTTACTTGAAGATACTTCTTCTGTTAAACCTTATTTGAATATAGATGGCAAAGTCCAAATGGGCTCCACTCAATTGCAGAAGAGGAATAGAAAATGGAAAAGAAATGAAAGCTGAATTTAGATCCAGTTTAGATCCAACCAGATTAAGGAAAACTACCGAACTGAGTGCTCTGTTGATCATGGGGTGGGAGGTTTGTGTTCCTGAGACCCTCAGCTTTCAACTAAATGTAAGGGCCAGTTCAGAGTTTTGACATCAGGTGAGATCAGCCTCTTTTGACAGACAGTAATTACCACCATTTTGGGCCAGAAGGGAATGAAATGGCTCATGATTGAGGACAATCACCCTTCTTTTAGGATACTCATTATATATATGTTCTATCTCGGATGAGGAAAAAAAAAAGAGCACGATTTTTCATCCAAATAACATTAACTTGTCTGAGGTGACAACCCAGGTAAAAGGGACACATATAAAATCAAAAGGAAAGCTTCAAATAACTGAAACAAAATAAATACCTGACATGGGGAAGTTTTAAGAAATATATGCTGCTGATAAAATATTAATTAAATTAAAAAGATAACATGCATCCTGCAGTTGAGTGTTTTGAGAGATTTTTTCAGTAGTATAGGAAAAAGAGGATAAACCACTGTAATTTAATTGGAGAGGTGCAGCATGTTCGACTTGCATGTTGATCTAAAGTATCATGAAGGCCCCAGTTTATTCTTACCCAGATTTGGCATCCTGCCCTGTTGGAGTGTCCAGTAAGCTGAAGGAGTCCTTCCTATGGGTTAGACAGAACTCTGATGATTTTTGCTTTTTCTTTGGACTCGCCTTACTAGACCAAGTAAGTCAAATAAAGGAACGGCTCTTGGATGGTCACCATAATTAGTCTTTTCTACTACCATGACTAATGAAAGTGGAACAGACTTAGACTCTTAGTTGCTTTCAGTAAGTGATGTAGTATGCTTYCTAGTAGGAGAGCTAGAAGCAACTTAGCTAAGAGGTGAATGACCCGTTCTCAGAAAATAGAATTAAATCAAATGATTAAATCATGATATTTGTTGTTAAATGTTAATCTATCTCTATTTTGGAAAGCCTGGTGTTTTTTTTTAATTTGTTTTTTTTTCTTTTTAATCTAGTGTGCTGTCCTGTTAGTATTAACAGGCCTTTGCAATTACCAAAACAAGGCAGAAAAATCATCCTGGAAGCTTGCCATCCTGACAGACCAGCATAAAGTGTAAACATGCTAATTGAAGAGCCGTGATTTTTGTCCTGAAAGCCTTATCATGTTCTCTGTGGGAGTAACCAGTGCATGAAAAGGCTCTCATTTAGAGCTGCGCATGTGATACARGTCCGGAATGCACTGAAAAAGGCTGAAGCATATAACTTGTGTCATTAACTCTTTTTTTTTTTTTTAATTGGACCTTAGGAGGTAGGGGAAAAGTCTTTTTTTTAATAAGTTGTTATTGCTCCGCAAAAGTCTACTCACTCTTGCCGAGAAATTGTGCTAGCATAAGCATCATTTCTTTCCAACAACGGGATGTTCTGCAACGGCAAGAATTTTATGAATATTTCATGAGTAGCTTAAGTTAGAATTTGCAGGATTAAAAAAGAGAAAACTGGGTCAAATGCACATGGTATAAGCATCCAACTTTTTTAATACTAAATTCATTTATGTCATATTTTGAAACCTAAAGTCACAGTTTTCTTTTTYGCTTGACCATTTTACCAAACAATTACTATTTCCTTCTGAATGTTGTGGGGCARCTCCAGGAGTCCTGCTGGGCTTTGCAGTGCAGAGCTTAGGATCAACCTCAGTGCAGTTTGTCCAGCAAGACCGGTGCCTTTTGGAGTAAAAGACTATTCTGTTACTTCTGTAGGTACATTGCTGAATTTGAACAACTGGGGAGCAGGACAATAGGTGATGTTCTCCAGGGCAACTCTGAAGTTCAGGCCAATTCTCAGCGGATGACTTTGTTGCAGCAGTGCACCTCAGGCTCACTTTAAGCCACTAATGACAAAAATCGTAGATGCTGGAGGTGTACTGAGAAGGCCAAAGGCACCACCCAACCCAGTGCCTTSCCTGCAGTGCCGCTGGCCATAGATGCCCACATGCCCTGGCCTGCCCGTTCCCGGGATTTTGCCTTTCCGACCCTCTGCTCACCTGCAGCAGTGCACTTGGTGACATTCAAGATGTGTGGAGGCTTGGAGGTGATAGTACAGGCATAACGACTGGCGTGACGGGGCAGGGAAAATGCACGCAGACATTTCCACCGAGCTCTGAAGCACAGTGCCCACAAGGCTTCCTGCAGATAAACTTATCACTTAGAACATATGTGCYTGACTCCTAATAAGGTGTGCAGCTGATTGACCTACGGAGCTGTTGTGTTTGAGTTAGATTGYGTTTTCAAATATTGATATTAGCCATAATTGCCAAAGCCTCTGCCAATACTCAGATAAAGGAAATAATAATCTGAAGTGAGGGAGGAAAGTGAGGGTTTTATATTGTGCTGTCCRTTTCTAAGAGCTGGAGAATAATTTTATAAGCAGAACTAATTAAACACAGGAGAAAGGATCCTAATCACTTAATCTGTTTTTGTTTGTTTGTTTGTTTGTTTCTGGAATCCTTTTTATGCATGTAGGTATGATAGTGACTGATAGTGACTCCCTAGTTTAACTTAAGTTAGGTTTTAATTCCTGTACTCCCCCTTTGGTGCTGTGATGAGGGATTTTAGGCTTCATTTTGATTAGAGGTGGTGATACAAAAAAAAGGTATTATAAGCCTCTCTGCAGCTTGATATAGCCAGTACAACTGTTCTCAATATTTCCACCCACACATTTTCACTCTGATGTCACTGCTATCCTTAATGTCCTTTTATCCTTTTTTTCCCAAACCATATAGACGTTTTTAGTCTTGGTGTGTAAAATATGTAAATGRCTAAGCTGTAACTAAGCTCATAGTGGTCTTTGTGGCTTTTTAAAATATGCATGGGAATAAAAAGTGTATAARTGTAATTGCTTTCATAGCATTATTGTGGTAAAAAAGACATTTCTAAATTTAATATCACATTTTTTCCTTTGTGAATAATCAGCAGTGCAAGTAWGATGGGATTGTCTTGTGTCTCTCCCTGCGCAAGTGAGGATATGGAATTCAGCAGAGGCCTTGGGAAGAGTAACCCACCAAAGACTCCTATCAGTCCCATTTGATGTCTGTGCATTAGCTTCATCCTTCCCTTTGTAGCTGCTTTTGGAAGACTTCGTCTGTACTGTAGCTTTGTCCTGCAGTAGGTTCAGCCACTCTGTTTCTCAGTCTTCTTAAAATACATTAAACCAGTGTGGTTGTTACCCTATGTTTGCTGTCTCAAACTGAAAGTCTGGATTATATTATGCGGAAGGGGCCTAAACTGGCCATTAGGGATTGTCTTCTTTTATTTCTCCTTCTTCCTCTGAAATGTCCATGTTGAGTAATGACACTCAAACACACAAAATAAAGCAAAAGCAAACTGATTTATTTTTCACTCATTTAGACTTGCGTCTTTCTAATTCTATAGCAGGACTTTTGTTTTCTGGATTCCATTTGTCATGTCATATTTTGCTTGCAGTGAACTTTGATGTCTACATTAGATACTGAAGCATSTCTTTTTAAAAAGACTGTAATGTTAAACATTACAGACAAAGAATCAAGTCTCAAGGATAAGTAGACCTTGTTTCAGGGGCTCCTTACCTAGAAATAGATTGCTTTATTTACAGCTTTGTGRCTGACTGTGTTCTTTGCTTTCTGTGATAATGTGGATTTTTAAAGCAATTAAATTTGCTCTTTTTAGAGAATGGTAAGCATTGAAGGAAGCTCTTTCAAACAGGATTTGCTCAAAAATATCAGGTTTGGTTGCTTTTTAAAATGCTGAGTATTGTTTGGAAAAATATTTCTGGTTATGTGGTTATGTTTGTGAGTGATTATTTTTTTTTCTCTCACTGGTAAGCTGCAAGGTCAGGCTGGCTGCCCCCACCACCACCTGCACTGCCCCCTCGACCGTCTGTGACTCAGGTATGTACAAAATTTTGGCACTTTGCWGAGTATTGCTCCAGATTTATATTACTGTTGTGGTGGTTAAAACAAGTTAGCTTGGGCATCTTAGCTGCTCTCACTTCTGAGTTAATGCACATGTGTAGTTTACTCTGCAGGTCCATACCTGCCCTTTTCCATTGGTCTGTCTAGTCAGCATGTTGCAATGTCAAATTACTGACTAATTAATTCTCTTTGGAGTGGAGTCAGCGTACGCCTGCTAGGCCTAGGTAAGACTATAAATTAAAGGCCACTAGTCAGGCTAGTCTGCTGATAGAGTTTGATGCCTGCAAAGCATGGGCTTGATACCAGCTTTTTGTTTCTCAAGCTTCCAATGTGCACAGGGCATCTGGTAAGGGAACCATAGATGTAAGAGTTTATTTCCCCGATGGGTATGAAAAGTCACCCTGAAAGGAAGTGAATTCCATGCCAGTGGTGTTATTAAGTTTAAGTCAGTTGGTGACACACTATTTTTAGAGACCTCTAGAGATCATCTAGTCCAACTCCCCTGCTCCAGCAGGGACACCCAGAGCATGTGGCACAGGGTGGMACCAGGCAGGTTTTGAAGATCTCCAGAAAATATGTCTTGTTCTTTTTATGCTGTTGGCTCTGTTAAGTTGTACGCAGCGCTTCACTGCATATGTTATATTCTTAGGGTGGGATAAAAAAGGAGGACAAATCCACAGGGGAGCGAAMAGCACGTTGCGCACACAGCTTGGTGAGGCCCACTTTTTGGGCCTATCATCACTTGAGTTTTGAATCTGCTCTTACAGTCTAATGCTAACATCTCTGCCTGCCCAGTGTTTATGGTAGAATTGTTAAAAGGCTTGTTGCCATCCACATCTGCACAAAAAAAAAAAAAAAAAGTTTCATTTTTCCCCCAATCCTGCTGAGTGAGGATAGTTTTTTGCTTTGAGGCCTGGAGAGCTTTCAGGCAGAGCTTCCCTTGAGTCAGGATGGCATTCACACTGCTATTTTGTGTGCCCATCCAGTTTTTGCTTTTTCTGATCTCCTCAGAAGAGCAACATTTCCCTGTGGCCTTCCTCTGATCCCACACCTGCCTCCCATCCCTTCTGCCTCCTAGCAGCTCCTGACAAAACCTGCACTGGCCCTTCTGCCTCTGCTGGAATTGGTGCCAGCTGTCCCAGCAACCGTGACTCCCTCTACTGCAAGTCCTGTTACTCAGAGGAACAACAAATACGGCCAGTCCCCATTCTTAGGAAAAAGAGAGTTGTTTTCAAGCAAGATTTTGCTAATTGTTTGTTTTCTTGTCATATGATGGACTTTCATTTCTTCCCTAAGGTCACCAGTGAAATCACCAATGAGATTTTGATTTGTATATTCATACAGCAGTTTCCTTACCACATAACAAGTACTGAACCAATGCTTAGCCTATTCTGTGCCATGTAGAGTACAGGACCTTTCTAAAATTGTAAGATTCTTGTATGAAATTTTTGATACACTTCAATACAAATATCTGTTTTCTGAAAAGTACTGTCCAGTCAGTATTGAATATATAGGCATTGGTTTGCTTGCATGTATTACTTACATTTCCTCAATTTACTTCTGATGATTTTTACAGATACTTAAATAGCTCCCAAATTATTGTTGTTCTGACTTCTAACAAAAATGTATATAAAAGCATTTCTTGAAAACCATTTAAACTTTACCTCTATTACATTCTGCTCATTTTGCTTTCACATACTTCCTTCTGCRATATAGGTAATCAGAAACAGGGTTGGATATGTGATGGAGCATAATTCAGGTTAACTGACCTTGTGAATGGCAATTAAGGAGTAGTGAACATATGGATTACATTATTCCATTGGGGCCCTTGATTTAAAGAGCATGAAAAAATGGAGAGAGGGATCTGCTTTCAAAACAAAGGCAGGATCGGTAACTGAAGAAAAGCCATGATGCTGAAATGACACATTCAGCTTTTTCCTGTTTTAGGATTTCCCAAGCTCTTCTTAAATTTCTGTTTTAACTTCTTTTCAACAATGTTGTTAAAAATCCCTTTTATTACTTTAACATTTTACTGTATGCCCACAGTTAAGTACTGTGAATTACAAGTGTAGCCTGAAAATGAAGTGAGCCCATATATTTCAGGTGACTGTGCACCATATAAGTATGCTTGTGATGTGATTATTTTGGCTCGGCTGATGGAGAAGGAAAGAGAAATAAGTCTTCTGACGACTACAGTTTTCTGTGGGTAGCTGAGAAGCAGCTTGGGCCAGTGGACTCTAAAGAGTGAGATCAAAGGGCTCACTGGATGCAAAGAGCAAAGTGCATAGAAGTACCAAGGGATAGATATTACGTTTCAGTGTAGCAGAAGTCCTTCTGTGATCAAGATAATAGCAATATAGAAACAGCATCTTTACTGTAGTCCTTGGTTGCTGTTGTTTCTACTAACATTTGTTTCAATCTTAAGGAAAACATTATTTTTCCTGTCAAGCCATCCAAAGTAATCAAGCTCAACAAGTTACTGAAACATTGGTTATTCATAGTGCGCCAAACGTTTTTAGTTGTATCACAAACTCACTAAATTAGATCCGCATCCAAATCTCCCTCCATAATGCAGTTAGGTGAGTAACCRGGGAAAGGATTGGATCATTGAATAAATGTAGCATGAAGTGAAACATGGGGCTAATATAGTTGTGGCCTGAACTCTAGGTCTGCTCTTCTCTGTTTCATTGGGTAACTGAACCTGAGCCATAACTCAGTGGGTAAACAGGCTTATTTTGACAAGCACAGTTCTTGGGATCTCGTGGTGACTTATCCGCTCCATAGGAAGCCAACTGTGCTGGCTTCTTCAATCTGAATTCCTGCTGCCAGACCATGCCATTTTACATGGTTGGGAGGTAGACGTATTTACATATGCAAATGCATCTTAACCTCTCACAACAGATTTTAACGTTAATGGATGAACTTGGCATTATTTTCATGATTATTTTTAAAGAACTGTGGTAACACACTGTCCTCAGGATTTTTCTCTGCCCAAATTAATTTGTATTTAGGAATAATTATTGTGTATTTTCTTTCTTCTTCTGACCATAAGTATATAATATGCTGTAAAGTGTTGCACAAAGTTGGAATCTGATAATGGCTGGGACATTGGCAGTTACAGATTTTTCTTTTTCAAGCAAAAAAATGCCACAGATTTTTAGTGTGTTTGGCCCTGTGAATGATGTCATATAGAATGGACAATTTGTTGGTCTTTGAAATATATGCTCTGTATTATCTAAGCCTGTAGAGAGATGAATTCAGTGTCCCAAGTAATTTTTTTTTCTGGTCCTGTGTTACCAACATAATGATTAATGTAAGTCATCAAGGAAAAATGAAATCACTCTGTCTTCAATATTTTGTGCTACCACGAGGTTACATGGAATGTCTATGTAACTTATAGACAGTAGGAATCATGATAAGAAGGCAGCAGCATATATAGCTGATTTTCAGTGACAAAAAAATCATGCAGAAAAAAAAAAWTGGATGCACATGAATAACATTCCATTGAAGTTGAACTGGAACCAAACACGCGTGTGCACATCTCAAATAAGCCTCTGTTGTTTTTTTAAAATGGAAACCAACACAATACTTTATTGCTGTTGGCTTTTAAGCCCACAGTAGCCATTTACCACAGCTGCTTACTATGGGAGACTGAGTAGCATATTTATGTTAACAGAATCACAGATAAACACAGAAGAGCAGGATTTTATCTAGTGTCAGCTAGATAAAATGGCAGGACATTTGCACCGTCCTGCCATTAGATCAACCTTCACTTTTTAAATGCAACTATTTCAGTACTTTCTTGTCCAGTAATGATGATACATCCTCATCCTGCCTGTGCTATATAAGGGGATTGGAAAACAGTGGGACTGGGAGAAAACTTGCATATCTTGGCTGAAAAAAACCTTTCATTTCTTCTCCCAGAGTCTAAATTTTAAGCCTGTTGGTTTTGCAAATTAACACTAATTTTTATTTTGCAAATTAACACTAATTTATGTTGGAGTTTATTTCTAGAGAGTGCTTGGAAGGTAGTTTCCCCTTTGGTCTGTATTGGCAGTTTTGATTTCTCAGGTGCTAAGAAAGTTGCATATGGAGGCACAGTCTTCAAGTAAAACAGAATAGATAGGCATTTGTGGACTTTATACAGCTGAAGTTATCTTGAGTGTATTGCAATTCTGAAGATTAATATCTCACTATATTATATAAGCTCACAGATGGACTGACAGTTTAGTGACCATCATTAGCATTAAAAAATACTGATTCCAAGAAAYCCTGGAGCCTCTTGTGCCAAAAAGTCAGTGTTGTGAGGGATGAAGGGTGGGTCATACCTCCCAGCTGGAGGCACCTGGATTTGTTTGAAAGCTAAAATATTATTCTTTTTTAGCATATTGAATGTCCAGCACTCACAATGTTATTTGATACTTCCTAACTATTTGAAGCTTTGTGACCATTCATCATTAGAAATTGTGAGGGAAAGCTGGGACCCAGTTCAAGAAATTGTCTCCGTTAGCATGCCACCCTGCTCTCCTTGAAGTATGAGGTGCAMTCAGGTTGTATTGGGACTAGGGAACTAAACATGCCCACACTGATCTTGGCACTGAGGCCAAGGAGGGCAGAACAACTTGCATCCATGTGGCCCAAAAGCCTTCTCCTCCTGAGCCACAGGAGGATGGCCACAGGCAAAGTTTTGCCGTGGGAGCTGATCCCAGCCCATGTGCCAGCCCTCGCTTTGCCCAGGAATGTTTGGAGAGCTCTGGTTGCTCTGAGCCTAGGGCAAGGCCAGGGCTATCCTCACAACCTAGCGGTGGGGACAGTTACGTTCCAGTTCCCAAGAACACTGATCTCCTCAGAGCGGTTTGCTCCTGTAAACACAGAGCCTCCGCCTCAGTAGCTGAGAATTTGGCAGCCACTGGGGCCAGCAAAGCCGCAGAGACAGAGGTGCAGTGCCTGGGCAGGAGGAAACACCACTGCTTGTA